CAAGGCGGGCGGATCACCTGAGATCAGGAGTTCAAGGCCAGCCTGACCAACATGTTAGAACCCTGTCTCTACTAAAAATACAAAAAGTATCCAGCATGGTGTCAGGCACCTATAATCCCAGCCACTCGGTGGGGGGGGGGGGGGGGGGCGGCTGAGGCAGGAGAATTGCTTGAACCAGGGAGGCAGAGGTTGCAGTGAGCTGAGATTGTGCCTGCCTTTGCACTCCAGCCTGGGGAACAACAGTGAGACTTCGTCTCAAAAAAAAAAAAAAAAAATCTTACATTGCTTATCTAACTCATCAGAAAATTCTATGGACCCATTTTGGTACATGTAGAGAATCTGGCCACTTTTTCCACCACCACTGTTTCTTCCCTGGTCTAAGCCATGTTCTCTTTTCTGGATTATTACAAAGCCTTCCTAACTGGTCACCTTGCATGTGTCCTTGCTCCCTTTAGTCAATTCTTCATACATCCGCCATAGTGAACCTGTTAAAGCATGTCAAATCATGTTGCTCCAAAGTTATATCATGTAAGTCATAATAAAAGTCAAATTATTTCTAATGACCTAAAAGTTCTACTGAACTGGGCTCTATCTTACCTATTTGAAGTCAACTCTTAGTTTGCTTTTTAAGATCTACTCTACTCTGGCATATTGGCCTTGTTGTTCTTCCTGGCACTCATAAGGTGTATTCCCCATTTATCCTTTGTACTTTCTGCAGTGCCTGGCACATAATAGGCTTCAAAGATGTTAAATTTATTCAAAAATGTTGAATGAATTAATAGATAAATAATGAATTTGTTCATTGAACGATGGATTTGTATGAGGTCATGGAGTTAAAAAGAAAATCCTCTTTCATTTGGGTTACATACAGGTAAAGGCAAATTCCCACACTAAGTTTAAATGCTAGAGTAGGAATTAGTACAGTGTACTATATGAAAAAAATACAAACAACACCTCGTTTAGTCTTTTGGTGAGAAAAATGATTTTCTCAGAAGACGTAATATTTAAACAGACACCCAAAGATTGATGACGAATCGCTTCAGTAGAGACAGCAGGTAAAAGGGAATGTAATCTTCAGGCGAATTATAGCCATACATTCGGTTTCACACAGTGAAGACTGTGAAGGACAAAGTATTTACAAATGGAGAAGCGAATAGGGACCTGGTTGTCAAAGACCTTAACTACCTTGGTGGATAAAAATATAGAAACAGTGAAGAACATTGAGCAAAGGAGTGGCATGATCATACCATTTTTAAAGATAGTAATGGATCTAATATGGAGAATGAATTAGACATGGGCAAGCCTGAAATCAGGAACACTGGATAAAATGTTATTGCTACATTATAGATAAAAGATAAAGATGGACTAAACTAAAGCCAAGCGTAAGGCAATGGAAGACACAACTGAGCTATGCTAACTCATGCTAAATCTAAATCTCTGCTCCATGCAGCTATGAGAATTTGAAAGGACAAACACGCTCACAAACTGTGGCCTGCAGTACCACCTGGCATCTGTACTGAATGGAATTTAAGAACAGCTGCTGCTAAGCATGGACAAATTCAATTTGTGTAAACACTTTGCACAGAACACCATCAACCTCAAAGAACTGACTTCAGGCACATAGAAAAGTATGATGTCTTACACACAATACAGCTGTACTTAGGATGCCCATTCATTCATTCACTTATTCCCTCATTCACAAATATTTATGGTATAACGAGAAGTAGCAGGTACCTTTCTAAGAACTGTAGATATAGCATTGAACAGATAAAATCCCTGCCCTCACTGAGATTACATTCCAGTGAAGAGAAATCAAAAATAAACAGACATCTAAAATAGTGTGTCAGATGATGATAGTTGCCATGGAGAAAAATAAGGGAGGAAAGGCGGTTAAGAAATGTCAGGGGAGGGACAAAGGCAGTTTCAAACTGGAAAAAGAGGAGAGTGAATCAGTACACTGATAAACCTCTGAGCAAGATTTGAATGAGATGAGGAATCAAGGCAGGCAGCTACCTGGATCTTAGAACACAGAAAAAATTTTCACCCTACCATGATATTTTAATTCAAAATATGTAAGTGGTTTGAAGGCATCCTTTGTTTTAGTAGTGCTAGGTATATTTTTATCTGGCAAGCAGGTTGGTGCTATAGCTGACCCCAGATGAACTGACTTAATTCACCCTCAGAAGCTCCTAGGTTCTCACAGACTCTTAGAGACAGATAAAGGTCAGGGTGTGAACCAGATTCTTCCCTAGAAGCTGCTAAGTCAATCCCTTGAGATGACATATGAGAGCATCTCTCAGGCACAGCTGGCATGTTCACAATCCTCTGTCTAGCCAAGATCAGCTGTGGCTTCATTTGGATATTATTATGGTTCAAAATTTTTTTAAAAAAGTATGCTGAAGAAAGGTGTGTACTACCATGTTCATTGCAGTATTACTCAGGAATCAAGCAAGGTGTCCACTAGTGGATAACAAAGATGTCGCATATATACATAATGGAATATGAATAGTATTCCATCAACCTTTTAAAAGAAGAAGATCCTCTCATTTGTGACAATATAGATAAACCTGGAGGACATTGTTGTCTTACGTGAAATAAGCCAGGTACAGAAAAACAAATACCCAATGATTTCACTTACAGGTAGAGTGTAAAAAAGTCAAACTCTATAAAAACAGGAATAAAATGGTTACCAGAGCTGCAGAGCGAGAGTATTAGGGAGATGCTGGTCAAAGTACAAAATGCAAACATGGCCAGGCACGGTGGCTCAAGCCTGTAATCCCAGCACTTTGGGAGGCCGAGACGGGCGGATCACGAGGTCAGGAGATCGAGACCATCCTGGCTAACACGGTGAAACCCCGTCTCTATTAAAAAAAAAAAAACAAAAACCTAGCCGAGCGAGGTGGCGGGCGCCTGTAGTCCCAGCTACTCGGGAGGCTGAGGCAGGAGAATGGCGTGAACCCGGGAGGCAGAGCTTGCAGTGAGCTGAGATCCGGTCACAGCACTCCAGCCTGGGCGACAGAGCCAGACTCCGTCTCAAAAAAAAAAAAAAAAAATGCAAACACACACACACACAAAACAACAACAATCAAAAAAAAGTTGCATTTTTTTCTTTATAAATATATACAAATAAATAAAAGTTTATATAAAACAGTAAAAAGTATAAAATTAAAACAAAAGTCACTTGTTTCCCATCCAGAGATAAACAAGTTTGTTTCTTAGGCTTCTACAGTCCAGATAACTCTTAACTGCAGGGAAGCGGGGGCATACAACTTTAATTAAAATGACATCTTCCTTTTCTGTTTGAACAGAATTACTTTGTGTAGATACTACACTCAGTTGCTTCTAGAATGCCAAATTCTTTCAAAGGCTACATGCTGCTTTTTGGGGTATACTACCAGGCAAAGATTGGCATGTTCTATTACCAAATACTGCCTGCTGATGTATTTGTGACCATATAGATATATTTGTTTCTAGAACATGCAGTGACATTGTTTTATTGGGGGTGACTTTTACTTGAGCCATTTTAAATAGCACATTTATTTGAAGAAGGAAACCTGTTGGAGAACTCTAATATAAATTCAACGAACAAATAGTAAGACAACTGTTTCTTACTCATCACATCATTGAGAAAGTTGCTTAACATCTCTGAGCCTCCGGTTCTTCATTTGTGACATCTGTAATATCCACCTTTCTATATCTCAATTTGTTAGTAATAAAGATGACATGTGAAAGTGCCTTTTAACTGTAAAATGTCATGCAAATGCAAGGGTGTTATTAATGATTAAGATAGTCCTTTAGTGTTTCAAATCTCTTATTTGAAACTCAACTCTCAATGCTTGCATCTTCCAACTACAGGAACTCAAATGGACCCAAAGCACTAACATTAAACTACAGTGCCCCCTAGCATATGTAGGAGGTCAAGGCAGCTTACAGGCTTCATGAATAGGCTCTACCACAGATGGTTCTTTTGCCTGAGGGAAGAACTATTAATTGTACTTTTGGACAATTTCCATTTGTCCAAAAGGAAAAAACATTTATGCATTTTCTTCAACACTTGCCTGTAACATTGTTTTTATTTTAATTTTTAAAAGGGAGTAAAAAAGTTAATATCCTGTACTATTTACATTTTCCTCTGGTTGCTTTAAATTAGGAGTATTTCTAAAAGAACAGTACTAGATTTATCTTAAGATTCACCGTGATGTTTCTGATTTATATTTGCTTACCTATTTTCACTCACCAAATTCTTTACAATCTAGTGTGAGAGAGGATATTGTTCATTGCACTCTTTTCACAGAGGTAGAATCGGAGTTAAGCTTTTATGCAAGATTGCACAGAAAGCTGTTATTATGAGCTTCAGCCCCCTAATTTCTATACACATTAAATCCACCAAGAGACATAGAATTGTGTAAGGAATTGCCATAGAATATTTTAATATCAAAATGTAGAAATATTTGCTATCATAGTTTTATAAAAGCCCAGATTAAAAATGTATCAATTGGGTTCTTCCATAGACTACAGTTCTTTGTTTATATTTGGTTCTTAATTTCATAAATTTTTATAGAAATTTATAAGTTCAAATGTCCCAGTACGTAAATTGGTTCCCAAAGTGATGAGTCCTTAGGAAAGGAAACGTGCTGTATGAGTTTATTTTTTCCATGTTGTGCATTTAAGTATTAATCAGCATAGCTTTCAGGGATTTCTTTCTAATATCCTTTCCTATGTAAGATAAGGACTGCAATTCATTATACCATTGGAGGAGCCAGAGGCTTTGCTAAGTTTTGCCTTTCTTGACTGTTCATCTCAAATTTAATGGGAGTGTGTATGTGTGTGTGTGTGTGTGTGTGTGTGTGTGTGTGTGTGTGTGTGTGTAGCTATATTAAATTGGTGACTGGACTTTAATTATGACACAATGTTGGTTGCCCTTCAGGCTAATCATCTCTCCCTTTCAGGAGGTCAAAGATCATTTCAGCCTCAGTGTGCTTTATAACTACCTACTAAGGGAGGCAGCAAATCCTGGGCAACTGAGATGTGACTTTTATCACCAGTTATTTTTCTTTATATCTTTCTATCAACATAGCTCAGGGAACACTCAAGAAATAAAAAATTACTCTTCACCAAGTACTAGCTTTCTGGGACCTGATCACTTCTAAGTGTAAACCTCTATTACCCTAGCAATGGTCCCTGGCGTTCCTTTTATTCCTCTTATATATAAACATCACAAAAAATAACAACAAACCCTCAAGCCCACAGCAAAGAGAACGCAAGCACGGCACCATCCCTCTTCGTACTGCCGTTTTCACTTGGTAGAGGAGGTTAAATTTTGGAGAGAATGGTGGCATTCATAGGAGGGGCGGGGTAAAAGTGTTGTCTAATTTACACGTTAATGGCAGAACTCGCCTTAAGCACGTCCCTCCTGCACAGTGGTGAAATCCTCCTGTGTGCTCCTGTGTGGATCCCGAGACCCTTCTCGCTTTAAGAGAGCCTCCCGCGCCCCTCACTCCGCCCCTTCCCAAGTCTCTGGGCTCGTCAAAGCTTCCCGAGAGCCATGGTTGGTCCAGGCAGGCAATCGGAGCACCTCATGGAGCGGCTGCTAACCCAGGGTGGGGTGGGGTGGGGTGGAGGGGTCTGTCTGTAGTACTCTCAGTCCTGATGTCACAGGCGCGGCAAGGACATCGCAAGGAGGAGTCGGATTACAGTAAGGATGGGCAGTGCAGCAGGCAGCCCCAGCGCACTCTCCAGCCGCCGGGGATCTTAGCCCCGGAAAGGCAGGCTGCAAGGCGCTCAACCCGCGGAGGAGGCACGCTCTCGGCGCTCACTGCTCTCCACGCCGGGGACATTTCCACCGAATGTAGCATGAAACGGCTCTGCTCTGCGTGCCAGCCTTGGGTGAGAGCTGATGCTGAAGACAACGCGGTGGGATTCCAGCTGTCTGATTAATGAGAAACATAATGTATTTTGGTGAGTGTTCACTCTGATGATGTAATTCTGGGGGTGTCCGGCTCTTCATCAGTGCAGACAAGCCCTTAAAAAATTATTTAAGCTGCAAGAATATATTACATTGAACCTACCTCCAGTTGGCAACTGGAGGACCAAGCCGGTGCAGCCTTCAAAGCTTCCTTTGTGCCACTATTGGGGCTGTTAATTTGGCCGTGGATGAGTTTAAGTTGGAAAAGAAAAGAGACAGGGACCTTGGGGGGGGGGGGGGCAAACTTTGCCTTGATTTGCCCGAATGAAGTTGGCTGTTTTAGCTAGGTGAAGGAGAAATGGTGCAGCGTGGGAAGTCATGAGCAAACTTAATGGAATGTGAAACAAAGTTCCTATACTATTGATGCTGTGAAAGCTTAGTCAATATGAGCATTTCATTAAGCATTTGCTGTTTTTTCTTGTTCAGAGGCGGAGAAGGAAAACATTCTCTAGTGAGCAGTGGTTGAGCAGCTGAGAACACTTCTCTATATCATCTCAGTGCTCTCTCTAGCTAGGAGCAGCCTAGCACAAAATGCATATTACTTTAAACCTTTAGAGGTCTCGGAGCTGTCAAATATTTGTGCAGTTTAGTGTTGTGCCACGGTAGAAACCTCAGTTAGGTGTTCACTTGAGCTGCCTGCATTTCCAGAAAGCATGTTCAGGCTTAGATCTGAGCTATCAGTTGAGCACTGGAAGTGGGCTTGGAGCTGGGCATTTGCACTCTTAACACTGCAACTTACTGCTAGTCCAGGAGGCAAGCGCCTTCACTAAATAAGAAGAAGTCAAGGATAAGGACTGAATATTTGTTCGTCCTCTCTGAAGTTATGCTTTCCTTCTGTAAGTCCCATCTGGCATCATCATTTAAGGGCATCTATGTGATATTAAAAGGTTTGATAGAGCAACTGGAGAGGGGCTAGAAATGTATCCAAGATGCAAATTCTCTGATTTCTTGATTTGCTTTCAATATTAAATCTAGAGTCTTCTTTCAGATTAAAGAGGTATTTAGATAAACTTAGGTTGGGGCACTATTAGTTTGTTGGGCATTTATTTCTGTATGTACTATTTGCTCTGTTTTGTTTCCTTTAGTCTTTGAGACATTTGAGAGAGTGTGGAAGGAACCTAAGTTCCAAAAGCTAAATGCCTTTAGTTGTCTTGACGGTTTTGATTTCCCTATAATTTGTGTCATATTAGAAAAGAAGTCTTAAAATAACTGAAAATGATTTGGAAGAAACAGTCTTCATTGCTTCACCAAATTTAAGCAGAATCTATAGTTAAAAACCATCTCTTTCCAGTGGGTAGTGATGGAGGTGGTAAGCTTGTTTATTGGCCACTATTAGGCTTTATCATGCATATATTTTCATAAATGGAAAAGCTTGTAAAGATAATAAGTCTTTTGGACAAAATAAAATTTCGGCATCAGTAATGATACTGAAGGGTGATGAAATTATAATTTTAGTTTATATTTTCACCCTGTTGCAACAATTCCTTATGTGATTGTCATGAGGAAGTAGGGCCAGTTAGAATAGCAGTAAAGTCTAAAAGTACTGGTCAAAGGCCATCCATGCTGTACTGGATTATCGTGTGACTATTGGAGAAATGTTCACTGGGCTAGCTCGTGTTATTAACTGTATGCTAGTTCAGCCTCTTGTAAAGCAGAGTGATTCATAGGGTAATCAGTTTCATTGTGTAACACAAGTTTTTAATAGTACGAATTGAAATGTGATGTCCTACTTACTTCAGATGACACTCTACTCTTTGAAAGGCAAGGCTAAAGTTGCCCTCCGTGTCTTGAACATTGCCTTACCATAATTTTGGTATAAGAAATGTTTTTCTATTCCCAGGGGAAATCCTAGGTATTCAGGAATGCCGTTTCTTTCAGGGTATGCTATGCAGCTTGTCGTTCAAGCTGTTAGATATCCACAACTTTGGGGGCCCACCTGTCTCTAAAAAAAAATGTGTAGTACAAGAGCGAGGGCAAAAAGAATTAAGCAGTATACTTCAGGCATGTTAAAATTCAATAGCATCCTAATGTTTGAAAATCCTAAAGGCTATGTATGTATATATGTATGTATGTATGTACGTACACACATATATGTGTACATGTGTATGTATCTTAATGTGTTTGTGTTCAAAATTGTAGCGATTTCAGGTAATTCTTCAAAACAATGCTTTCACTTTGCAAATTGCTTGGCCATTACTTTCTTCTTCATTTTTCAACTGCAAATGGTTTATCAAGTCAGGGAGAACAGGGACAAAGGGAAAGCGATGCTGCATTCTTAGGTTTTTCTGGTGATTTGTGAGAATGGGGTAGAGGTGTCATAAGTCCTTTATTTGTGTCCCCAGCAGAGCGTGATGAAGAGCACGGTGATGCTATGGTATGGGGTGAATTGATATGAAAGCAGGATATTTACTTCCTTTATAAATCATCTGATTTGTCAGTGTTGCCCCTCCCCCCTACCCCTTCAAATATAGCTGAAGAATCACTGCCTGAATAGCCTGGCTCAGCCTATCTGCTTCAATTCATTCCTCCTTCCCCTTGGGACTGGACAACTGGACCCTGCCCTAGCTTAGTTGGAGTCAGTTGTGTGTGTGCAAGTTGGTGGAATATGTAATATTTTCGGATCTCAAGAACAGCTCATGTTTGGAGCGCGCTGTCTCAGACTTACCAGACTAATAGAGCTTTCTAATGACTTAAGCCTCACTCTTATCTCCTATTGAGATTTTAGTGCAGTGTTTTCAATAATCGCTCATCTGTACTTCCTGTGCCATGATTTAAGAGTTTGCTGTTCAGTCACCGTGGATACTTTTGTTACTTAATCTATCGATCTTGGATCTTGCATTCACTATTTGGAGTTAAATATAAGGTTCATATGGGAGAAGGAAGCAGGGAAAATCTCAGTCAGCAAACTGAGTGTGATTTACTGTAAAAGCAAGGGAAAAATATAAATACTTATGATTTTACCCTCCCACCCCCATCAATATTTTACATAGTTAAAAATTACATGTGCCAAAGATGAATAGCCATTAATAATTTATCCAGAAATAAAAGCAAGGCAGCTGGGGGACTTCTCCCTAGATTAAGGAGAAGAGGCTGTGGGTGGTTGTCAGTACAATGGACTGCGCTGCCCAGTTACAGTTTAGTTAAGAGGACTGTGCTGGTATGAAGGGCAGGGTCTTTGCTTGAGTGCACCCTGGCGATTGCTCAGCACCTGGCAGAAGGTTGTAACTGTGCACTGTCTCCAGCTCTAAGCACCGTATGTTTGAATCGTCTCCCCCTTCCCATCTGGCCTGACACATTTCTCCACTGCTGGATAGGTGAGTCGTTGCCAGTGGTCATGTCAACCACACAGATTCCCCATGGTTGGCCAGAGAGATGCCATGTCTCACCCTTTGCCATCGGGAGAGAAAATGGGAGGCTGATGTACTGAAGAAATTCTGTGTGGGTGCATATCAGTAAGCTTTCAATTCTGAGTCAAGCAGGTAGAGACTGTGGTAAGCTTATAGCCAAGAAGGAGCTGGGGCTTGCCCCCATGATAATACTCCTAAAAAAAAATGAAATGATACACCTTAAACAGAACTAAGAGGCAAATATTAGAGCTCTCCCTAAATGATACTATTAATGACATATTAATTAAACCTAGAGAAAAGGGCAGGCAAAATTTAGAAAGTGTGAATGAACCATTCAAGTTCGCTTTGGTGTTAGTTGTGGATCAACTCTCTTCATTAAAATGCCTAAGAAAAATAGGAAACACATTTGGTGGTGTGCCTGTAATAAAAAAAAAAAAACCTGAGGAAGCTTTTAGTACAACAGCAAAAAAAAAAAAAAAAAAAAAAAAAAAAGTCTAGTAGGAAAATTCTAGGACATAACCCTATTCCCCTGCCTATAGTAGACACATTTGCACATTGTCTTAGGAAGGACTTTTGTTTTCCCCTGGAATGTTTAGAACATTCTCAAGTCAGCACTTACACTTTTGGTTGTAGCTGGACCATCAAGTTCACCTCCAAACTAGTGTGCCAGAAAAACATTTAAATGGCAAGGTTATGAGGAAGGAAATGATCAGAAAGCAGCAGGCAGCAGAGAAAAACATCTTCTTTTTTAGTGGTTTCAGTGGAAACATTTAACTCCTTCTAATTAGTTTGTACTGAGTGATCTGTTATGGAGAATTAGGTCCACTAGACTATTTCTAAACACTCAGCCAGTGTTTCTATCTTCCCAAAGCTGACAGGGGAGAGAATAATTCAGCAAGGAACTTCTATGTCTAAAGTCCCCCTTTTAAAGCTTGAAGTCCTGACCATTATGTCTTATTACACTTAAATCTAAATTACATGCAATAAATTACTACAAAACAGGGCTGGAGAATGTAACAGGTGAATACTATCAGAAAGGGTCATGCATAAGAATCTGAAATCTAAGATAACTTTAAAAACCGTAAAGATTTCCTCCTCACGACTATTCTCCTTTTAATTTCACGTGAAGTTCTTATTTTAAAAGCCAAATTCCAAATTTGATCAACATACCAGTAACATGGATTCCTTATCACACCCTTAAATTTTAAGCTAGTTTTTTAAAGACCTCCATAGTTGTTGTGATTATATGGAAATGAGATACGTTTATTTAAGGGATAAGTTCCAAAATTCATGAGCTAATGATGACTTGCAAAGTTACGCTTTCGTGGGTGACATAATTGTTCCAAAAAACAAATGAAAAATTTAAATTAGTGGTTTCTGATTTCCATTCCAGAAGATTTGGTCACAGCTGCTTTTGCCTGAACACTCTCTTGATGAGACAAGATGTATTGGTTGGTGTGTGTGTGTTTAATACTGGAATGTCAAATAGTTCCTTGTTACATAGATACTTAATATTATACTTCATTCATAGCATTTATGTATTCCTGGATCTTTTCACATCATTTGAAATGTAATACATTAAGTATTGACTTAATAATGTAGATATTAAAGTATTTTTTAAGCACAGCTGGCTTTCAAGTTTAGCA